TATATATATATATATATATATATATATATATATATATATATATATATATATATATATATATATATATATATATATATATATATATATATATATATATATATATATATATGAACAATGACTTAGTGAGTGATAACTTACATTTGAGGATAGAAAATTAGGGTGTTTATGGTTTGAAGTATATCAAGTTTGGGAAGTGTTGATACAAGTAGAGACAATTAAAGAGGCACTGAAGATTATATTGTTTGATTATGTGTATGATATTGGTTTTTCACATTAACTTAGTTAGTTGCATGGTCTTGTCAACTTTGTGTCATTGGATGTCTGAAGTGCAATCATGGGATAATTGGACTGTAATACTCAAACATATATGGATGTGATACTCAAACATAAAAAAAAACATTAACATCATAATTTTAGCGTTTATTCATACTGTGTACATAACATAACAATTGATGTTTCTGAAGGGCTTATCTAATCTTGTGTGTGCATAATGTAATACTTTGTAGGGTATAAATTAAACCAACAATCTTAAAACCATAGAGTCACATAAGACTAATAATAATGCTTATGATTTCAAATGAATTTATAATAAAAAATATCTACTTTTGATTTACATGAGCTATCTGAGACGATTTCAATGTTTTAAATAAGTAGAGTTTTCTAAGTAGATTTCAATGTCTTAAATAAGTAGAGTTTTATAAGCAAATGGATGTTAAAATTTGTTAACTATATATCCTGATAAATAGTTATGTAAACTATATATCCTGATAAATGTTCGTTTCTTTTTTCCATTAACAGTGTCCTCGTCAGCGCAATGGGATTGACTGCGGATATTTTGTATTGCGTTTTATGAAGAAAATTATTCTTTCTGATCAAATAGAGATTCCAATCATGGTATGGATCAATTCATAAGTTATATGATTCATTTTGATAATTAACCGATATTTTATCTGAGTAATTAGTTTTAAAATTAAATCGTGCATGTTCTGTTATATTATGTAGTATTTTGATGATTTCAAGTGCGGTACTTACTCGAAAGCAAGATTGGAAGAAATTAAGGAGGAATGGTGTCAATTTATTCTTGAGTTGAGAATTCTATAATGTATCTATTTGTAAAGTTATCGGATTTGTAATTATATGTAAATTGATTGTATATGTGATGTTGTTCTGAGGATCGGACTGTGTTGTAATATATTTAAGCAGGTTTATGTGTATAATATTGCAAAGTGATGAATTATAATGTATACTTTAGTTATTGTGTATAATATTGCAAAGTGATGAATACACAAAAATAAGGCCAAAATAATTGTTATATATAAGGCCAAACTGTTGAACTAAAGGCCTGGATTATAAGCAGGGAATGTATTTGTTATAAGCAGGTTTATTGAAAAATATATAAAAAATGTGATTATTTAAAAAAAAAAATTCAAAATCGTGAAGACTAGACAGCGCTTTTAAAAAAAGCGCTGCTAAAGGGGCAAAAAGAGGCCTAAAAAAGCGCTGCTATAGGTTGGAAAAGGGGGGGCTAACAAAGCGCTTTAGAAAAGCGCTGCTAAAGGAGGGGTCTAAGACAGCACTTTAAAAAAGCGCTGCTAAAGGGGGGGGTCTAAGAAAGCGCTTTTAAAAAGCGCTGCTAAAGGGGGGAGGTGAAGTGGGATTAGGCAGCGCTTATAAAAGCGCTGCTATAGGGTAAAAAAAGCGCTTCTAAAAGTGCTGATAAAGGCAAAAAAAAAAGCGCTGCTAAAGGCCAAAAAAAAGCGTTGCCTTTACCTTTAGCAGCGCCACTTTAGACAGCGCTTTTAAGCGCTGCTAAAGGCCAAAAAAAGCGCTGCTAAAGGTCTTTTTTGGCATAGTGATATGATGAAGTTGATAGAGATTGTGTGCATGCTATTCGTATCGATCATAATGAATGCATATGGAAAAATTAACAAGTAAGTATTTTACTCTTTTATTCATAATTTAATGTAAGTTATTATTTCAAGTATATTTACTAACGAGTTATAATTTATTGTAATTAAATTATTGTGATAGAATTATATTTAAGTAATTGTTTCAAGTAATTAAATTATTTACTTAATTGATACAATCATAATTTAATGTCCTTGTTAATTACGTGAATATAATTGTATCAAGTATATTTAATTGTATATTTACTTGTTACTTACTTAATTAAATTATTTATGTAATTAAATTATTTACGTAATTAAATTATCAAGTATAATTATAATTTATTGTAATTAAATTATTGTGATACAATCATAATTTAATGTAAGTTATTATTTCAAGTATATTTACTAACAATAAAATACTTACTTGAAACAAGTTATAGTTTAATGTAATTTAATGTATATTTATCAAACAGAAACAACAATTATATCATAACAATAATTGTATTATATTACTTAAAATCTATATATTAGATTAGGGTTCTGCTATCCAGTGCCCTCGTTTAAGGAGAATTAATATAGCTATGGCCCCACCCATTTAACTTTGAAATAAACAATCGTTAAGTTTAATAATTAAAATATTAAAGATTTACACGGCTGTCATATTTAAAGCTACTTATTATTATATATCATATGCTAAATTAACACCTCACGCGCCACTGTTGCCGTTTCATTTTTTCTTTTCTTTTGCTAAATAAATATTGGAGTTCAATTTTAATTAACAATTTATTGTTGTTCATTTCACAATAAAATAGATGGGACCATAGCTAATTTAATGCTCCTTAACCAGTGCCTTCAGGAACTTGATAGCATTCCCCGTTAGATTAATAACCAAACATTTTATATATAATATATATATATATATATATATATATATATATATATATATATATTACATCAAAAAAAAATGGCACAAAACAATTTACAACACATTATATTACATCACGTAATTGTATCTTAGTGTTTAAATGTTGACTATTGAATCAGTTTATCATTAGTGGACTGTGAGGAATAACAATATATCAATCAAACAGAACTCATGCAATAGCACTATATCTTACTAGTTACATTCTAATTCTAATACATTATGTGTTTCGAAGATTTTGTTACTAAAAAATAATTATATTATCATTTGCTCACCAACATGTTTTTAAATAATTAGTTTTTTCAAAGAGGAACATTTCTAATAAAAGTATTTGATTCTTAAACAACCAAATTTTTTTTGAATTGTTATTAATTAATTGCATGTTACGATTTATAAAGATTTTAATCTAAAATGATTAATTTTAAAAGTAATATTTATAAATAAAAAAAGTTAATAAGACTTATTAAATATGTTGTAAAAAAACACTTACTAAATACAAATAATTTGATTTAATGCAACACTACATAAAAGTAAAAACACATTCGAATGGATAATTCAAAGTTAATGAAGGTAAAATTCATGGTTTTTGATGCTAAAGTTTATTATGATACTTCAAACAACCTACTTAATCATATAGTCAATTAGTTTCAATTCATCCTTAGCCTCTTCAATGAGTTTTTCAACTTGACCACAACTAAGACGATTCTTAATTTTCTTCAAATCTTCTTCTTCTCGACAAACCATAAGTTTTTCATTTGTAATTCTTTCAACAGCTTGACGATACATTTGATCTTTGAACCTTCTGGATTTTCTGAAGTATCTTACAATAAAATTCTATTAACACCTCTCTCGCATTTGGAACATCACATAGTTCAACAATCTCTATTGTTTGCTTTGATCTTTCCATCAATGGCTCAAACATGTTTAATCGGCTTGTGTTTTTCTCTTTCACACGATCCTTTTCTCTTTGAATCAAATCTTAAGGGAAAAAAAGCAAACAATTATTTTTCAAATAAAAGAAAATAATAAAAGTAAATATCATAAAAATATATTTGAATTATTTACCTTGAGGTAGAGTTTGACCGGATGATTCGTTTTCAAGTCGAAATATTAATACTTTTAAAGTAAACTCTTTGCTTTTTGTCAACTTAAAAACACACACATCACCTTTCTTCAACTTATTATCAGATGCAAATTTCTTCCATCCAGCTTTAATTTTTCCAAAATAAAATTTTGCATTCCAAATTCTTCCATCCATAAGCTGAAGAAGAATATCGTTCTCCTCTTTCTTCATATACTTTTTTGTAAAATTTTGTGGGACATACTGCATTTTTTTACATATTGTAAAATCAAACTAATAAATAACCACTAGTAAAATTTTGTGAATAAATAATAATCTATTATAAAGATCAATTTAAAATTTTACAAAAAATAATAATATAATATATATATATATATATATATATATAATATATATATATATATATATATAATATATATATATATATATATATATATATATATATATATATATATATTATATATCTATTACTATATATAATATATATATATATATATATTATATATATATATATATATATATATATATATATATATATATATATATATAAAGACTTACCAAAAAATCAGTACAAAGATAGGAAGCTTTCATGACAACAGTGAAATAGGGTTTTTGGATTTGACAATTTCTAGCTCTCTTTAATGCTTCATTAGTCTTAGCATTAGAAGTCTTATACTTCCACTCTTCTTTTCCACATTTAGTGTTTACCATCTATGTTCTCTAAGAAAATTGACAACATAAGTGCAAATAAACAAATATTGTCTTAAAATTGCTGTGAGATAAATGAAAGATAGAGAGTATATGCAATTATGAAAATATACTACCGGTAGCTTGGACATGGTGCTTTGATAAGTTAGCAAAATTGGAGCCTATTTCATCACCTTCACATTCACATGTATCATCTAAAAAAATAACAACATAGAAATATAAAAAGTATATCTCAAAGTTTAATTGATTAAATGTTAAGATAGTTAAAGAATAAATCAAAACATGAACTATACCACTAGTTTGAGGCAAGTTATGGAACTTGGTACTTGTTCCAACACCTTCATTTATGTAACTTCTTGATTTCTTATGTGGTTTACGACATGGAATTAGTGGTTTTGGTCTAGTTTTGGTTTTTGCATGATGAATGTGACATCTTCGAAACATCAACCGAATCATCATCACTGATTTGGACATTGTTGTTTTGTTCATGTTGATTGTCATGAAAAGGATAATCTATTTCAAGAGTATTCTTTCCAAATATATGCACCACAAAATGAGTTTTTTCTTCGAAGTGAAACAATATCATGTTCCCATGATCCAATGAATAGTATGTTGCAAATTCCTTCCAATCCTTTTCAAACCAAAAATCTCCATTAGCTTCACTGATATGCATTTCCCATTTTTTATCGTCCGGAGTCTTTAGAAATATAGGATTTTGAATATCATTACTGTGTTTTGTAGTGAAACTCTTTGGAAGTCTCTACAAAAAGTACAACAAATACAATAATGTATTTAAATCATAAAAAAATAATAATTGAAAATATTTAAATTTTAATTACTATAAATATAAATTTTGAAAATAATTGAAAATTTTGAAAATATTTAAAATAATTGAAAATATTGAAAATAATAATTGAAATTAAATTAAATCACTTTTATTTAAAATTATAATTACTATAAATATAAATTAAACATAAAATTGAAAATAATAATTTATGAATAAAATGATGAAATTGTGAGAGAGAAATTTAAAATTAAAGAGTAAATAAAAGTGAGAGAAAATGGGATTGTTATAAATTTTTGCAACAAACTTATATTTATAATAAATAAAAAAAGTTAAAATAAAATAAAATAAAACCAACAAGTTAAATAATTATTTTAATAATAAAAAAAAATGAAGAACCATTGCTTATGCAAGGAACGCTCACCAGCTGGAACAACTTTTTGTTGACAATTTCAATGCCAAGTTGTCAAACCAATTTGAAGAACCACTATTGCAGATGGTCTAATATATTCGAACACAATCTTAAATAAAAATTCAAAAGAGCAAAGTACTACAATAAAACATAAAGAAGAAGAAATTAACCCAAAAATACTTACTATTTTTCCATCTTGAATATTTGGCGTGGTAATAATTTTAAAGAAACGAACACCAGAAGTTGAAGCTGCAAAAGTGTTCTTACTTTGCTGATGGTTCATAATTGTTGATAACACTGTTTATGAAAGCACAAAAAATTTTAATTACTATAATAATCATGTAAAATTATAAAATTATTTTTCAAGAGCATTATTATATTGTTAAAAGTCTATTTTAAACAAATTAAGGAAATAATGACATAGAAATGAATATACTGGAATGATGCGTAATATCCAACTAAACTCTAAAAATAAATTAATGTTTATAATATACTTATTATGAACAACATTTTAATTCACAACACAAAGCTTTATATATAATTAGCAGAAAGAAGTACCTTTAGTATGGGAAAACTTGCAAGATGCTTCTGTGGCTTTATAGTATGAAAGCACTAGTTTACCTTTTAAATAGTACAGTAGTACTAAAAAAATTCACTAGTTTATCTTTTTTTAAAGAGAAGAGTAATATAAGAATTTAGTTTTTAATGTATTGAAAATTGCAACCATACGACAATAGCACATTTTCCACTAATACACCTAAATGCTAGGTGCAACTTTTTATGTAAAGATTTTAAGTTTAATTAAAGCGAAACAGTAACTTTAAGCATGCATGGTTAAATCGATGGATGTGTATTCATTAAACTTTTAAAACATGCAAGACACCAACTTGGAAGTATCAGACTATAACATGCATGCATGAAGAAGAGAAATAACTATCTCATAGAAACTCATATAAGTCTGTCTGTGAAGTGTCGTGAAGTGTCAGAGTGTAGAAGAGAATTATAAAGCATGCAATCTCACACAAATCAATGTTTATTTGAATATTCTATGAAACATTTTTATATCTAAAAAATTGTAAATTAATTAATTTTATTCAATTGTTAAGTTTCAAATTGCATATTTAATAGGTAAATATTTTAAATGAATACAATAAAATTAATATATTATTTTAATCATAAAATTAATATTATTTATTAAAATATTTTTAATAATTATAATTAATAGAATAGTCGAATAAAATACAAATTAATTAATAGAAATATAAAAGTGAAAAAAATAATAAATACTGTATTAATATAGTAAAAAAAATAATTATTTTAAATTAAAAAAAATGCAAATGAGATTGGAGAAAATTATATAAATAAGTGAATATTTCGTGCAAGAAAAGTATATTAAGTTAGTAACACTATTTTTTTAATTGTGAACTTTGAACCTCTTATATCTTTAAAAGTTTCTCTTTTTAAAATTTTAATTTCTCTATAAGATTAATTATTAAATCGTCAATGAAATAATTAATATCTTTACAAGCCCATACTTTAAATTAAAACTTTATAAATCTAAATTTAAATTTTGTTTTGTTTATATAGATAATTTCATGAAATCAACTCCACCAATATCTTAGTAATACATATTATTCATATTTAATAAAAAATAATTTCTTTATAAATTTATTAGAATATTTTTTTAAATAAAATAAAAGAAAGATTTAATTTAAACTTAAAAAAATTTGATCTCCATAAAACTTCACTTTATTTAACTTATTTTTAGTTATAGATATGAATATTGTGTAACTATAGTGACATATAAATAAGGGCAATTGTCACATAATGAGATTCAAAAAATTAATATCAATTTTAGATGAAAAATAAACTTGAAAACTTAAATCAAATAAAAACTCTTTTAAGACTCCTATGAAATAAAAATATAAATTAGTAAGTGATTACATGATAAGTTTTATATATAGAGGTTGTGAAACACACTCACGAACTAACTAAATAGTACTCCCTCTGTTTTAAAATTACTGTTATTTAAGGTTTTTGCAGGTTAAAAACTGCGATAATATTGTCATAAGATATTATATTTTTACTAAGTCTTATTAATTTGTTGGAAATGGTTTATAGAGTAATAATTATATAACACAATTGTAAAAATAGTAATTATTACTACATTAAAAAGTTAAAATGATATTTATTTTGAAACAAATTTTTTTCTTTAAAACGATAGTCATTTTAAAACAAAAATTAATAAGTTTTAGCTAACAATCTAACTCTCTATTAATAAACTTTAACTGAAATACTAACTGTAATTAATTTAAATATTTTATTACAAACTAGTAACATTTAACGAATTTCTATATTTTATTAACCTCTCATAAATTTATAATAAGACAATTCTATAATGAATTTGGAATACAAATAAAAAAAAATAAAAAAGCTTATGTTTTATTAAATAGTAAAATTACAATGTGGCTCTTTTATTTGTGATTAAATTCACAGTTTTTGTACCAGACTTAAACATAGTAATTAATGATTAAAGTACGATCAAGTGAATGAACTAGTTGTGCAAAGATTTAGAAATTCATGTGTACTTTGATATTGTTAGAAGGTTCATAACACACGCATGGTGAACATATCTTAATTCAGTGTAACTATAATTTTTTTAAGATCTTATATTGTTTGAAGGTTCTGTCGTGTATTATTATGTATTATTATTTTTTTAAGATCTTATAGTAAACAACTATAATTTTGTCCTTACTGATTGTAGAAAATATATGTTAATAAACTACAACGTACTAACCTAAAACTTAAAAATAATGTGGAACTTTTTACTACTATTTTGATCTGATTTGGAATTATGGTGAGTGTGTAGTGTCCTTCAAACTTATGCATTTTGCAACATCCTAATAGCATCTAGAAATTTGTTACAAGTTAATATTGTTACACATGTTGGTAACTAAAACCATTATAATTGAATTTTCTTATTTTTGTTTTGGTTGAAGTAGATCAAAATGCAAGTTTATAAAAAGGTTTTGACGAAAAGATATCGAGTTATCAATAAAAAATATATCAATAAAAAAGTTGAAGTTTATATTATTGTTTTCTACGGGGTGTTATTGATTGAGTCCTACATGACATCATTACTATTTTTGATATAGTATTAATTGAGTCATAAGGAATATTATTGCGCCTTATGGGATATTATTGTACTCAAAGGAACATGACATATTAATCCTTACATGAAAAGATAGGATCTAACGTAATATACATAATCATCTTGCCAATGTTAATGAAAAGGAAACAACATTCTAGCAAACTCAGCCATAAAAACACATCACCCTTTCAGCCTTCGTGTTTAGGGGATTGTGTACCATCATGATTTATAACTTAATCACTTCATCCTTACATGGATGGTACAATGGTGTGATTCAACTTTAAATGACCAAAGTGGCACTAGTCCAAAACATAGTAGGGAGATTCAACTTCAAATAGCCAAAGCAGCGTGAGCCCAAATCACAATGATATGATCCCAACTCTCTTCCAAGACATGAGCGTTTTTTAAATGATAAATCAGGGTGTAACTAGGGCATGGGGCGACGCGATTGTGAAAATTCTAAATTTTACTTATAAACTAAAAATGTTGTCTAGTCAATAAAGGTTTGATTTTAGAGAGTCTAAGGATGAATGTCTAATCACTTCATATTTGGTTCCTTCTACATTATTCTATCATATACATATGATTAATTTTAATTTTTAATGGCTACTTTTGAAATGATTTTTTGATTTTAATTATATAGTTTTATTTGAACTTAATGCTTTTTCCCGTCTATAGAGTAGAAAGAATTTTTCATCCGATTAATAGAACTAAGAGACTGTAATGGTCATTTGTGTTGCGACGAGAATAACTTTGACCACTATATTATGGGGGGTTGCTTTGACAAAGCGGATATCCTTGAAGTTGAAGACTTCCAGTATTAAGGGGGTTACGAGGTGTAATTCTATGTTTTGTAACACTCTCTTGTTATTTAACATGTCATAAAACCTTCGTCATTGCGATTGAAGACTCCAAACATCTAGGGGGTTTCCTTGACAAAGCGAATCGCTTTGCGATTGAAGAATCCCAACAACCAGGGGCATGCAGGGTTGTAATTTGTGTTTTGTGAAAGATCATAATTGAATCAGATTAGTTAATAGTCATATGAATTCTCACATATAGGGGTAGATGATTCGAAAGGAGAACTTAGACATTTTTATTATATTTGTCAATCTTAATTATAAACTCACAATTTTACATTTATGCAAACCGCCGATCAATTGTGCTCTCTGCGCCCCTATTCTTTTACTCACATTGCGCTGAGTTCACAAGTGCACTCACCTTGTTCTTATCGAGGGTAACACAATCTTCATTGATACAATAATTTTACTTGATATTTTATGGTTTTTGTATACAAAATTACTGTGACATCAATTTTTACTCTTACAACCAACATGGGTGAGGTCGAGCTTGTCGTATACCCAATTAGGTCTTATTTATAGTGTTGGCATGTTGAGTCACATTAAGGGAAAGCTAGTGGAACTCCTTTGATCTGTTCCACACTCTCCATAATTAAAGAGTGATTAACGACACTTTTCCCGACTAATAGGTCAAACATAGTGAATGTAGGAGACAAAGAAGTTGCTCCATCGTGAGGGATCCAAGACTATAAATACATGATCCCGTAGGCGAGAAAAAGGAGACCATTACAAGATATCACTAAACAAAAGACCTTCATCCAATACATTGTCGGAAGGATGCTCTATACTATATTGTACTTACGACAAATACATTGCTCATTTTCAAACAAAATTAGTCTAGTGGAGCTACAAATGCAAATAAAATCTTAAGGAAAAAATAGAAATATTTGTTAGAGTTTTTTAACTAAATGTCAAAGCCTCTACCTTAACAGAGAAAATCCTTTCAAAATATCATAAAATAAAAAAGAATTACAAAATTCTGACACATAATTAAGAGTCGTGGAAAAGTTTAAGAAAAAACCTCTCAATATGACTAATGAGAAATTAAAATTATATAGAAAGATTATTCCTTAAAGTCCTCAAACACTGCCTTAACACCAATCTTGTCATTACTAGTTCTAAACTTAATTGAAAATAATAGACTGAATTTTATTATCCCAAAGCATCAACTCATGATATTGTGATAGAAGTAAATTATTCAAAATTTAAAATTTTAAGTGCCAATAACTCTTATGAAGTGAATATAGTTGGTCAAAATGAATATGACATAGC